GTTGCCAGTGGATAATCACCATGTACTCTAGTAACTGCCCTGTGAACTCTGGCGATCTTGGCCTCCCAGGGCTCTTGTCACCTGCATCTCCTCCGGTGGGGGAAGGGGAGGGCCAACCTGGCTCCGCCCAATTTTACCTCCCTCGCAGCTGCCTCGAAACTCAAACCAATAAGCGGAGGAAATTATAGGGCTCTCTTCATATCTTGGTAATGTCTTAGGAAGCAATGATCTTCTGTGCATGATAGCTGTTGTATTGAAAAACCACTGTTTTCACAGTGGGTTTTTATGTGGTTATGGGGGACAGGGCACAGTGATCAGGCAGAAGGGTAAATCTACTGCTATACCATCTTGACCAGAAACAGAAGCAAACAACTGCTCTTCGAGCACTGTAAGGGTCAGGGGAAGTGAACATTGCTGGAAACCCCTGCAGTAGGTCCCAGCCTCCTGTGAATTACCGCAGCACCAGCTAAAAGTAAAGGAATAGACAGAGCGAGAATTATAGTGAAGCTGAGTCTTGGGTCCTGGTCAGTGCTGCTGATGGCAGCAAAGACAAGGCCCCCAAGCACATCCAGTATTTATTGAATACAATCATGAGAAGGAATAGGGAGCCAGGGAGCTGTGAAGGCATCTAGCGATGCCGAACACCTGGCATGATGGCGCCAGGCAAGGCTGATAGGGAGTCGGCACTGCTTATCTTGCTAGGATAGAAGAAACAGGTACTGGGACCAGGTGCAATTAGCAAGCAACCCACAAGTTCAGTGAGAAGCTATAATTCAGGGGAAAGGGTTTTAACTGCGGTCACGTTGACCTCAGCTGCACGTAATTCAGCAGGGCCCTGGTACTTCACAGACCAGCACTTAGGCCTCAGTGACAGCCATTAGCAAAGGAGCAGTGCTAGCCCAGCTCTCCTAGCTGACATGCCCGTTTGAGTCACACAGGGCTTTGGTCTGACTCCTGATATAAAACAGTATAGCTGAGTTAGGGAAGGCAGGAAGCACGTGCCACTCATAGCCCTCTAGTACTGGGCAGGGATGTCTGCTACAGAGCACCTCTGCTTAGTACTTAATCTATTTTACATACTTGACCAATTAAATTTCTTTAAGAATTTTCAATTGCATTTATAAAATTAATACGGTAGCTGGCCATGGTGGCGCATGCCTATAATCCCAGCACTTGGGAGGCTGAGATAGAAGGATTGACTTCGAGTTCAAGGCCAGCCTGGGCTACATATCAAGATCTTGTCTCAAAAAACAAGAAAAAAATTATAAATATAAATATATATACATATAAAAAAAAATAATTAATATGGTACACTTCCTCTTCAGCCTTTTCCACTGTAGGCATGAGTCCTTTCTGGTGTATAAGGATGGCAGGTGTCTGAGTAATACATGTAACCTTTCCAAGTGTTACCCATCAGCCTGGGGTTCTTTTGCTCTAATTGGCACAGTGCAGCTCTGCTTGAAGTCCTGGTGTCACTAACGAAAGTGGAAAAATGTTAGATGCCAACAGGTGACACAGCCAGCTGCTACTCACTGCTGGGGCTGGACTCTGCTGAGTGCTCATCTCAGGACTACAAAATTGAGTATTTCAACAGTAGCAGCATGACCTCCCTCTCCACAATTGGAGCCCTTCTAGACTAACTGGAGAAATGGCTGGGAGTACTGTCTATATAGCAGCTGCAGGCCTGTGATTGGTCCAAGTGCACTACCAGTGATTGGTACAGCCTCAGCTACCATGGCTGTGATCCAATGAGGGGGCTGGGTTGAAACCAGGGAATCTTCTGGAGGGCAAGTGGAGGGGGTTGGGGATGGTAACAGATTCCTCCCCTTCTGGTCTTAGCCACCAGGGCACCCCCTCTCTTCTTTAAAAAGGCAGTGATAGCTTCAGAAGCTGGGGAGGGGCGCCGCTTTGATGGTCCAGCTGCACCCATGTTGGGGTGGAGTAGAGGACACCACTAGATAGCCAGGGAAGACACTGAAGAAAGTTGTCCCAGTCCAAGGGGGTTGGGGAGGGGAGCAAAGCTGTGGGCCTAGCAGTGCCCCCTCCTGCTGGGTGCAGAAATCCGAGAGTGGGCACTTCCCAGGCTCACAAATACTTAAGAAATTCCATAAACCCAATAAGTTAAATGTGCATCTTAGAAAACTTCCAAGAATGCAAAATGTTTTCTGTTGCTGCAATAAAATACCTGAGACTGGGTAATATAAATAGTAGAGGTATATTATGGCTTATGGTTCTGGAGGCTGGAAAGTCCAAGAGCCTGGTGCTGGAGAGTCCTGGTCCTATTCTGACTTAGCAGTGGAAGGGCTGTGACTTCGGGCGGAAGAAACAAACATGACTGGCAGCCATGCTTGACATCAACCACTCTGGTGGTGACCAATCCTGAGAGTTACCCTAGTCTCTGCAGAAAGGCATCAGTCCCCTTTTCTTTGTTTCTTCGTCTTCCCTTCCCTTCCCCTCCCCTCCCCTCTCCTCTCTTTTCTCCTTTCCTGTCCCCCCAAACCTCCCTCTTTATTGGAGGCAGGGTCTTGCTATGCATTTTGGGCAGGCCTTAAACTCACTATGTAGCCCAGGCTGAATCTGAACTCACGGTTACCCTCTTGCCTCATCCTCCCAAATGCTGGAATTATAGGTGTGTGCCACAATGCCTGGTCCTCTTGATGACACAACTGTTTCAAAGGCTCCACCCCCCCTCAATGTCATGCCTTGAAAATCAAGATTCAAGGTGAGTTTCAGAGGGAAAAAACCATACCAGCAATATGTTCACAAGTCTGTAAACTAAGTGTAGAAGTATGGTAAATCTCAACTGCTCATAAATGTTTTAATACTGTTTAGAATGTTAGCAAGATTTTAATAGAACATCGCAAGTCTAAATCAGTCACTCACTTATGTATTTTAAATTGTAATCCCAAAGGAGCACGTTATGCTAATAGGCCAGAGCTCTTGAACATTAGAAATACATTAAATCCTGCCAGGTGTAGCATACACACAGACAATCCCAGCACTCTGGGAGGTTGAGGAGGGACCACAAGTTCGAGTCCAGCCTGGGTAATTTAGCAAGATCCTGTTTCAAAACAAAAAATTAAAAAAGGACTGGGGGTATGTAAGGATCCTAGATTCAATCCACAGTACCCCCCAAAAAGAAAAAAAAAACAACTATGGGCTTGATTTTCTTAAGGATAACTAGAGAAACTCTACAGGTTCCTGGGCCTATATGAAGAGCCCCACTATACTAGTAAGGATATATATGTATGTATATATAATTTTTAATAATTGAAATTGAGACCTTGAGCTTGTGAGGCAGGCAGTGGCACCACTGATCTAAATCCCAAGAATATTTTTGTATTTGCTGTAACAAATATATAATGGCTCAATGACCGTAGTCTTGCTTTGTTTTTTTTTGTTGTTGTTTTTTTGAGACAGGGTCTCACTATGTAGTTGAGACTGACCTAGAACTCACTACGTAGCCCAGGCTGGTCTCCAACTTTGCTTTGGTTTTTTTCTTTCTGGTGTAAGGATGAAAGGTAAGTGTTCTTGATGGTCAGATGGTCAGGTGGCTTCTCCTCCTGTGGTGATTCAGGTACTGGGATTCCTCCTGCCTGAGGCTTTATTCTTCTTTCCATCTCCTTACCTTTGCCTCTGCCTGACTGAAGAAAGGAAAAATTGACACCATCAGAGAAGTATCACAGGCCAGGCCTGCAAGTGGGATCTATCCACGTAAATGAGAACTGGCCTGAAGTCTGACTGGGCAGCAGCCTCTGTCCTGCACCTGTACATTGTCCCAGCCCCCTCCAATGCCACACCTTGTGGCCTGACTTCTGTGAGGGCAGATCTGATGTGTGATTTCTAGCTGGAAGGTGAGCTCACTGGTCCAGGGGCAAGGCCATTCCAGAGCAGGGAGTAGAATTTGAAAGAATGACCCCAGAAAAAGAAAAAAATCCCAGGGATGGGCGTGGTGGTGCACACCTGTAATCCCAGCAATCAGGAGACTGAGGCAGGAGGATCGCAGTGAGTTCCAGACCAGCCTGGGTCAGTCTCAACTACATAGTGAGACCCTGTCTCAAAAAAACCAAACCAAAACAAAGAAACAAACAAAGAAAAAATCCCAGGATGCAAAGGAGGGTTGTGCGTGCAAGAGTTAAACTGTCCACTCTGTCCCCTCAGGTCTCAGTGAAAGCCAGAGAAGGGCTGTGTGGGATGGCGGTGGGTGCATCCACCAAGAAGACTCCCAGGAGCCACAGTGCCAGCAGCTATTGAGGAACCAGGAGCCAGGTGGGGCAACAAAAGTGGAGAATCAGAAAAGGGGCCACTCCCTCAAAATGAGTGGGGTGATCCTGACATACTGGCAAAGACAGTTATGGCCTCTGATTTCTGGGGTTGGGGGGCCATGGAAAGTTAGCTCAGCTGTGAGGGGAAGAGTTGGGAAGGGGGGAAGGGGTCACATGAACAACAATGTATAACTGGATGGAAAAGAGGAGACGGGAGAGACAAACGTCATGGCAGGATTTCTTCTAGCTTAATTTGAAAATCATAATATCATCATTTCTTGGGACACAATTTTAGGGAGAAGCCCAAACAGAAGAGTAAATTCTGGCACAGAGACCATGGTAAAAGGTTATTCTATGGGCATTTTTTCACTGGAGGACATCAGTCCTTTGAGCCTTTCTACTGAAGACAGCTCATCTCCAACAAAAATGCAAGACCCCAGCATCTATGGATCAGAGACTCCAGAAGATAGTACACATGTTTCTCCCCACATTGCCAACAACCTTGAAAATACAACAGGAAACTCTATGAGAAACTCCCCCATGGAGGACAGCAGTCTTTCCCAAATACCTTCAGAAAAAGATCCATTCACAAAATCGCATGTAAGCACTTCAACCTCCAAACCTAGGTCTTCAAGCAAAGCACTGACAACCACTGACATTGTAGGAAGCAGGGTAACAGCAGTCAGTCTTGGGGTAGGCAGAGCCACCAGCTCTAAGCCTGTGGACAGCACTACCATGCAAATCAGCACAGTGCCCACCAATATGAAAGGCTACCCTGTGCCACTGCTCACAGCCAGTGAGACAGGCCCTGCATCTACAAATATCGCAGTTAGCACGATGATTGTCAGCAGCCATTCCTCAGCCAGCTCGCATGCCAAAATACCGGTAGTGGGCATGAGCACATGGGTGACTTCTGCTGTAGCCGGGTCCTCTTCTGGCACGGGGGCCGCCTCCACTGCATCTGTGTCTGGGAGTCCAGAAGGAAGTACACCTGCTTCAGTCCCGGGGATCAGTGGCCCCACTGCCACGGAAGGCAGCACGGCCCCAGAGTCCCCAGCGGAATCCAGCACCCTGTTCCCAGCACCCAGCGAGGCTGTATCCTCACCAGTGACTGATGCCTCCATGACTCTCACACCCGTGCCCTCTACTGAGAGCACCTCTGCATCCTCCGCCACTGTAGGGACCAGCACGACGGACACCGCTCCTGGTGCCAGCAGGGCCACCAGTGCAGAGCCTGTGGACAGCACCAGTTTTTCAGCTGCTACGAAGCACACCAGCCCAGTGCCCACTTCTAGCCTGGGCTCCTCCCTGCCTATCAAAACAACCAGTGAGCCAGGCGCTGCGTCAGCCAGCCTCCCAGCCAGCACGATGCCTGTCAGCAGCCGACCCTCAGCAAGCTCGCCTGTCCCCACCCCGGTGGTGAGCACC